AACCCGTTCGCCCCAACTCAGAGAATTGCATGGCGAGCGGGTATTCCGGCAGCCATAAAATCAGTCACAGGAAAACTGATTTCTCGTCGTTTGTTCCCCCTTTCCTCTGCCCCCTCCCGCTCCTCTCACCGTGATTATCTCGGCCCCGCTAGGAAATCATGAATTAAATATCAACACACGGATCCCGCGCGGGCGCTCCGTGTGCCTTCCGGATGGGTGGACAAACATCTTTGGCGCCTGCTGATCGAGGGGCCTTAAGCTATGCTGTGCTGCATCAAAGTATGGAAAAGTCAGCAGTTACAAACACTGTCCAAAGGAGGGGCTCCCCTATCTCAGATCCCCTCTAAGTTTAGTTCGCAGCGAAGCCGAAGGGGCCGGGGCTCCGGCCTGGCGGCGAAGTGCGAGCGACTAACTAATTTCAACTAATTTAACTTTATCTGCCTACCGGATCCGATGCCTTTGAGGGGGCCTCCCTGCTCCTGCCGTGTCAGCCCCGTACCGGCGGTGTTCCTAAGAGCGAGATCTATCACCGATCAAAGCGTGCGTTATCAAAGAGCTACGAAAGACAACATCTTTTAAAATTGTTCAAGTTTGTTTTTGGACTGACCGATTCGCTCCATCAGTGAGATTCAAGTAAAAACGGAGGTTGCCTATGCTTATTGCCCCAGTTTAAGTCTCTAGGATTCATCCAAGAATTCAATTTTAATTTATCATGCTGTATCGTTGGCCTTCCTACCAATGTGTTTCGGCCACTGTTCGAGTGCGGAGTGCGGAAGGTACCGCAGCCGGATAGTAAGGACGGGAGGCCGAGGAACTGGGATAGAAAGCTGGGATACGGAGGAAAGAAGGGGGGGGGGGGGCGAGCGCCAATCCTTACAGCAGCTCCAGGCCGACCTTTAATAAAACTTGTGACAAAGTTTGTCTGCGGGGCAACAGCTGCCGGACGGGCGGCGCAGCGCAGGGTGGGCTATGGCCGCTACAGTCAGCCCCGCCTCGCCGCACCACGTCCCGCCCCGCCTAAGTGACGAAGTGACGAAGTAGCCCGGGTGACTAACGGCTTGTGGAGTTCGGAGGTTCGAGCCCTGCCCGAGGCCAAGCAGGCCGAGGCCAACTCTGTGATCCCTCTGCACTGTCCGGCTGCTCTATCGCGCCCCCAGTTCCTCTATCCCTCCTTGTGATCCCGTATCCCATCTCGCATCTCCCCCATCTGCACTCGCCATCTCAGCGGCCCTCGCAGCGGCCCGCCGTCCCATCCGCCACTTTGGACTCGGGGGCCAAATCCCTTTCCAGGATGCAAGTCGACCACAAACGCGGGAGTACCGCCGGGGGTTTGGCCCGGCCGAGACCCGGGGCCGGGGTCTGCTCGGCTAGGGCGAGCCCGCTTCTTGTCCACCACGCTCCCCTCGTAAATATCTCAATCCCGAACAGCAATCCCTCCTCGCAGGTCTTAGCCCACCTTCCCTTTGAGCGTGGAGGGCGCGGTGGGGCGCGGGGGCCAGGGGGTCGCCCGCCCCGCGGCCTCGGGGGGCTTTCCTTGTCTTATGTAGCCGAGGCGTCCGCACCAAAGCCCCGACCGCGGTGGACATTAGGCGAATTGGGTCGGCAGGGAAGAATTTGGACCGCTCCATGGACCCCCGGCGCTTTGAGAGGAAAATAAAAAATTGACGTGGCAGAAATGATGAAACACGAAAATAAAACTGGTTAATTTGTTGTTGCTGCTAAACAGCACCACCAAGAGTAGCCGTGCCCTTACACTGCTGCCTGCTCAGCGATTCGATGATGCTGTTCTTACGTTCTAGCGCCGCGCGGCTGACACCCTCTCCTGCGTCGCGAGGCGCGAGGGTGGCGGGCCGGACCGGCGCTGCGGGTAACGACTCGCCGGCAAAAGGTGGCGCGCTCGGGGCGGGCCGTGGCGGGGGACCGCGCAACTTGACTTGCCTTTATAAATTATGCGCTTTTGCGGACCGCGGCGCTCTATTAGCAAGTTTGGGCGTCACAGAAGTAAACTCCCTGCAAGTTTACGTCTCTGACTGCGCCTCTGGCGGCGCGGTGTGCCTCTGCTCTCCCTCGTTCTCCTCCTCCTGGCGTGAGCGCGAGCGTGACCGCGAGCAGCGCGGCGCGCTGTGGTCAAGATGTGCGCACCATTTATCAAGCCCGCTCTTTGCTCGCGCCTGGTCGCGCATCCCGCCTCGCACTGCCCCACCCCGTCCCGCACCGCGCAGGGGTGTTGACGCGTTCGGCGCGTGGCTGGGTCGGCCCGGTCCGTGGCGCTCGGTCGATAGCCCGGCCCGGAATGGTTCTCTCCACGCTCTGCCGCGCGCTGCCGTACGTCTCACCGCCCCACGTCCGCCTCCGCGCGGACTCCCCGGCCTGCCCAACACGCAACGGGGATGCATTTCGGCTCATACTTCCTGTTGCGCAAAACTGTTTATCGTTTCAAGTACACTTTCCCTTGTTT